CCATTTTATCGCTGTAACCCAGGGGTCTGGGTCATAGCTCTACGGCCGTTGCCGGCGCTGGTGGTTCCAGAAACTGAACTGGAGCCAACTTTGGTGGTTCCTGGCAACGTGTCCTCAGCATTCTTTTTCTTAAAGAGGTCTCCCAAATCACGTGAATATGAGGGTCCACATCTGCCTCAGCTTCTGAGCACAGCCTTGGGAGACCGTTGGCTTCTCTGACGTGACGTTCTACACTGAGGGCATAGGCTATGGGGCTGCCTGTGAGGGACGGTTTCAAGTTGAAAATACCTGGGGTGTTGCTCATTGCTTAGCCTCTGCAGGGCCAGCCAGGGTGGACAGGATGATGTGCTATTCCAGGCTGGAACTTTCTGGCTTCTTTCCCCACAAAGGTCTGGCCTCTACAGAACACCAGTGCCTCTGGACATTCATCCCAGACTAACACATGTTCTGGAAGCCTGGCTCAGACCATACGCAATGCCCCAAACTCCAGCTCCCTAACTCTCCAAAAAAGTAAAGGGTGCGTGCAAGGCTTTGACTGGAGGTTCTAGGACTGTGGCTGGTCACAGCATTGGCCTCACCATGATCTAGGTCAGCTGTAGACTCTGCTCTTCCACGGGACTCAAATCACAGAAAGGCAATGACGCTTTTAAAGGCGGAATCTGTGTAGTCGTCAGTCCCAGTTCCATCTTGGAGCTCCTTGGCACCATAAAGCCATGTTCCTGAGGCCATGCAATGGCCAGCATTCACACAGGAAGCCTGCGCCTGCACTAGGAGCCTGCGCCTGCACTAGGAGCCACACCAGCGGACTAGGATTCAGTCTGGTCTGAGTCTCTCCTCCCTGAAAGAGGACTCAAGTGACCGCCATCCAAACCATGGCACAGACTGCCATGTGCTGTGCTGGAAGGGACAGCCTCGCCTCCGTGTGTACTCCTGGAGACTGCCCTGGGCCACACGACAGACCCATTTTCTAATCTCAGGGACTTGGGATTGGACATCAGCGCTTTAGCACTCTGACTTGTTCTGAGGGTTAGTCAGGGTCGAGACCCTGACATCTGGGTCAAGTTTGTGTGTGTGTTCATTGTCTTTTGGGTTCATTTATAAAGTTACCGAATACTAACAGCTGTCTCAGTAGATGGTTGTGGGAGGGGCAGAGGACCTGAGTTTGATTTCCATCACCTACATCAAGCAGCAGATCACAGATGTTTGTAGCCCCAGCTCCAGGTGATCCAATACCCTCTTTTGGACTATGTAGGCACTTATAGCCTCTGTACGTGTTCACGCACACACACACACAAGAAGAACACATCTCTGAGAGTAAGCAGAGACCTGAAGAAGGGGATATCACCTGGGCAGAATCATTCTGTCCACCATAGTAGGGGCTGGAGCGGCTCCAACTTGAACTGTCCGGGATAGACAGCTGCTGATGCTGCCAGCAGACTGGCCCCTGAGTCAGGCCACTCACTACCAGTCGCCATGCAGTGGAAGCCAGTGTTTCTGATAGTAATAAAACTTACTCCCAGGAGGGCAACTGGCCAGGAAGACGCTGTCCATGGGAAGACTAGTCACAACATGAGTCCAGAATTTACCTAGCAAGTACCTACAAGGTGAAGAAGCAGCCATCCCCATCTCCCAGGGGGCAAGGCAGGGTCCCCCTGAGCTTCCTGGCTAGAGTTCCCCCATTTTGAGTGAGGGTAATTGCTCTTGCAAATAATTAAGCAAAATTGGCCTGGATTCTGTGGGGCTACAGTCGGGGTTTCTTGTGAGGTCATGGTCTCTCATGGTGTCCTGCTTCCTGTGGTTGCATGGGTGTGTAGGACAGAGTCAGTGGTAGGTGGTCCAAGACTGGGGTGCTAGCATCGGCCAGACTCCATGTGGGAGGAGGGTTATTGCCATGAAGCCATCCTCGGGGTGATTCCATGGATTAGAAGATGGAGTTAGTATGGTCCATAGGAGAGTTAATGTCAGGTCGGGAGGTTCAGGAACTCAGGATCTGAGAACAAAGGGTAAAAGACTCCTATGCAACAGTTCCAAGGCCCCACACATGTAGAAATACACTCCCTAAGAAAGAGATATGCAAGTCACACATACACAACACATAGATGGACACACCTATGTCACATTCACAACACATGTACATAGACACACACAGATGCATATGTCAAGGATACTCTACTACACACAGATATACACACACAGATACACACATACAGAGACACACACCATACATAGGTAAACCCATATACACAAACATGCATACTATGAGGACAACACATATACACATCTCACACAGACACACACACACACACACACACACACACACAGGATCACATACCGCATACGTATGGGCCCCTTCCACATACAAAGACAAGCACACCAAAACAGATACACACAAAGCACATGACAAAAGAGCAAAGGCCCAGCATCCCTCTTTAGATGGCGTCTCCACATCTCGTGGGCAGAAGTCCAAGTTCTGACTGAACTAGCTGGGCAGGAGCACCAGGCCAAACGTAGCCCCACTGCACAAGTCTTGTGTATGAGGCTGGCTACTGTCTGGGGGTGTTGTGTGACAACTATTTCCAGGGGAAATATGACCAAACATCTACTCGCCCCAGATAGGGACTCAGTGACAAACCAAAGTAACCATACCACCAAAACTCAGTTCTGTGAACAAAAAGTTTACTGGCACCCCTAGCAGGGCTATGGTAGCATGTATGGGTGAGGGGTTAGTTATGGGGGCAGGGTTGATGTAAAGGCAGCTGCAACACCTGGAAGCCCACCCTGGAATGGGTGATGGCTCGTCACAGCTGGAGGCTAGGAGCTCACGGCACAATTCCCAGGCAGCTCAACAGGTTGGAAAAATGTTCTAGGCAGCTTAGCTCCTATGGTCTCTCAGCAGTTCTCAGTGCATGTATCAACTAGAAGAGGGAGGGGCCTAGTGCACTTGGTCAGTTTCAGGGACTTCCTGAAACTTTTGAGTGGTCTGCTTCCCAAATCTTAAGACAGTTCCCTGCCAGTCAGAATGTTTTATCAGGGAGGGAATGACGGACAAGAGGCACACGGGAACAGTGTGATGGGAAGACACCAAGAGAACGAGTCTCCTAAGGAAACACTGCCATGGGGTGTCTGATGAACTTCAAGGGAAATGCATTCTGGAGTGGACATTTGTCTAAATATTTTCATGGCAGGAAAAACTATCATCCAAGGTGCTTGTGACATGTTCCTGGGGCTCCATCTTCCAAGACCTGCCTTCCTCCCTGTCGGGAGGCTTGCTTAGCTTCTGGCGCCCACTCTGTGGTGGGCCCCTGCAGTGCCCACAGGGCTGTGAGGGACACAGCAGAGGATGCTGGGATGGCTTTATGACCAAGTACCACCTCAGTCTCTTCTCTGTTCTTCACAGCTGGATATCAAAGAAAACAAGAAGAAGGGTGACCATTGTGTGTGTGTGGGGGGGTTGGGGATGGACAGTGTGTGAATATGACTGTCTGGAAGTTTTACAATTTGGAGGGGCCTGCCTGTCCGAAATGCTCCGTGAACCTCCATATTAATCCTAGAAACAAAACTATGCAGTTTGGTGCGGTGATGCCATGGACTGCCCTGCTTGGGAAAACTACTTCTGGTCTGGCAGTGTGCTTTTCTAAGCGGTCCCTCCCTCTGCTTCCTCACCTGCTCCACACCCTCTGGGGTGGGGAGCCTTTCTCTCCTGCATAAGGGACATTAGGACAGGAGGAATTTGAGAACCTGGTCGCAGGCAGCCAAGTCTTTATGGCCTGTAATCCAAAGGTTTCGTCAACCCTGGTGATTTATAGAAATTGATGGTGTCGTCTGATATGAGGTGTGGGGAAGAAGCTGTCCCAGACACTGGCTCTTTATTTTCCCTGAGTGAGGGAGACTTGTTTATGAGTAGTCTACATTTTGAACTCTTTGTTCCATGGAGGACTGAGTCACCCACAGACATCGGAGACCGAGCCCCGAAGCCAGTGACTAATGGCTTTAGTGCAACATGCTTAGCAAAAAAAGAAAAAAAAAAGGAAAGGAAGAAGAAGAAGAAAAAGAAAAAAAAGGAAAGAAAAGGGGAAAAAGGGAAAAAGAAAGAAAGCAAAGAGCTCTGTAGGCCTCAGGCTTCAAGCTCTGGTGACCTATACTGGGCGATGGCAGTAGCTGGAACATCCCAGGGACCGCTTTCTGGGTTTGGTAGTGGCGACTTTGGAAGTGTGCTTTCTTCCTGTGGGTTCATTAAAAACAAGTGGCTGGCAATAAAGCTGAGATGAGTTGTCAAAGTCAGCTCACTAGCACCCTCTGCTGTATACAAATGGTATCTTTTTTTTTCTTTGAAGGAACTGCTGGTTCTATTGCCCTGAGATGTGTCAGAGAGAAGGGAGAGAGGCAGAGAGGCAGAGAGAGGAAAGAAGAGAGGCTATGCCTGAGGTCCTGCTGTGAGGTAATGAGACTTTTTAGGAGGTAGGCCTCTTAGCTGGAGGGATTCGGTGGTTAGGAGCATTTGCTGCTCTTCTAGACACCCAGAGTTCATTTCCTGGCACTCATGTTGGCTGGCTCAGAACCACCTGAAACCAGCTCCAGGGATCCAACACTCTCTCCTGGCCTCTGTGGGAACCCTTTCACACATCACACACACACACACACACACACACACACACACACACACACACACACACACACAGACATGCACAGGCACACACAAATGAAAAATAAAATAATGAAGAGACAGGACCAAGTGGAAGCAAAGTAGTTCGCTGGGAAAGGCTGTTGAAGGAGTCATCGGGACACAAATGTTCTCTGACTAGATTGGGCCCTTCTTGCAGGCTTCCTCCCGTGTCCGAACTTCACTGTGAGCTCTGGGCTCTGTTCCCACCCACATGTAGCAGTGTGGCCAAGCACTCAACATTTCACAAGCAGGCTGCACTTAGGAAGATGCTGGCCAACTCCGGTGGAAGGTTTAGCCCATTGTACCCTATCCGCTTCCATAAAAGTCATTGCAAAACTAAGAGTAGACCTTTATTAAAAACAATTTCTGAAACAAACAGGAAACATTCTGTACTGCTACTGGGAGCGCTTGCTGGCACCGACAACCAGGGCTTTGCTCTGCATGGAGCATTGCAATCACAAGGGCTAGCAGCCCCGTGGAGTCACTGTCTGGCATGCCAAGCAGGGCTGGGTGCAGGGAGGACGTGTCCCAGTACACACACAGACCATCTGAACGATCAGCCGGATTGGCTGTTTACTGGAGAGACATTCAGTTCCACAAGAGGTATCTGGTATCTGCGGTCAGCGGGGTGTGGCGAGGCAGCTTGGGAGGCTGCTTGTCCTCTGTTGGCAAAGGGTCATAGGTAAATAAAAGGCACACAGTGAGCCCAGCTGCCAGGCGGAAGAGGTTGCAGTCATCAGAGGAAGCTTGTGAAAGGAGGCCCAGCCAAGGACCTTGGCTGGTTCCGGATCTTGCAAATTTTGAGTATCCATGTAGTCTAAATCATCCAGGGAGGATCTTCTCCCTGTCTGCCCTCCTCTGTGCCCCCAGGGGAGAGAATTAATCTTGACAGCAAGACATGGTTTTCACTAGATGAGAGTGTCGAACACTGGCTATGGTGCAACTTCTGCACATGAGAGCCTGTTTGGGCCTAGAGGAAGGCAAAGCCTCTGCCTCCATCCTGTTCAGTCATATCTAGACAATGGTCAGTCCCAAACCCCTGGAAAGGAGAGACACTGCTAAGGAGGCCAGAAGGAATCCAGAGGCTTCTACAGGGTTCTCACCCGTGTGCTCCCCATCCTGCGAGGTGACCTTTTTTTCTATCCCCACCCTGGGGGTAGGGGAGGGCGGGAGCGGAGAACTTGCTCAGATGGGGTTTGGAGGGTCCTGTCTCCATAACCAGTACATCGGCTTCTTCCTTTCCTGACTCTAAATCTGCAGGTGGCCTAACCCATGGGACTTCATCAGCAATTCTGTGTTCTGCAGGTCTGCTCAGTGAGCCCAGCATACAGGGATCCCCACTTTAACGAGACGACTGGCTTGTCAGCCTAACCCCAAACACAGTGACGGCGTTTAAGTACTTCTTAGTGATCCTTTAAAAAGCTCCTGCCTAAGACAGCCTAAGTTTATTGTGCCATAGTCTGAAAGGCACTGGTGGCACCCTCTCCATCCCTCACCCACCCCCCAGTGGGGCTTCCCGCACCAACCCTGTCTGTATATGTCACAATGTCTGAGGTGGAGATGACATTTGTATATATTCGCAGACACAGAATGAAGGCTATGCAGCCTTTATAATTTTAGGGTCCTCAGCGAAAGTGCTTATAATGGGTGACACCTTGTGTACGGTCAAACAACAAGTCACGCATAAGGAGGACAGAGCGAAAATCTCGGATCACATGTCCTCTGCTTAGAATTGCACTTAGCAAGGCTTTCTTGTGGAGAAGATCAAATCTCTGGTTTTATTGTGGATTAAAATTACATTCAGGAACTCATCTCAAGAGGGTCTTGGGCACCATGTTCCCCTCTGCTCCGGTATGAACGTGTCCCCTCAGGGTCCATGTTTGAAGGTTCAGTACCCAGATTCACTGGCTCAGTGTTTGGAGATGGGGCCTCTGGGGCATGAGGTGGAGTCCTGAGGGGGACCCTAGGCTGGGATCAGGGCTTTCCTAAGAGGAGGGCACACCTGAGATGGCTCACCCGCTGTCAGGAAGGCCCCTGCCTCAGGCTGCACCTCACCGGTGGAAGTTCAGAAGGAACACACACATCTCACAGATACCTTTCTCGTCCTTGTCCCTGGCCCTTCTAGGTGTTCAGTTATAGCAACCGGAAATGGATGGATCCTGTTGTGGCTTGAATGTGGAATGCCTCTCTCCACTCCCCAAGGCTCACACATCTGAACGCCTGGCCCCCAGCGTTCACTGCCTAGGAAGCTTGTGGAACCTTTGGGAGGCAGGATCTTGATGAAGGAAGTGGGTCACTGGAGTGGTGGTGGCTTTGAGGCCCTGGAGTCTGACTCCACTTCCTGTTCATTCTTTGCTTCCCGAGTGTGGATGCCATGTGACCGTCCAGCTTTCTGCTCAGGTCACCAAGTTTTTCCTTCCAGGTGTAATGTCTTTTCAACCATGATGGCCTGTCCCCACTGTGAGCCCAAACCGACCCCTCCTCCCTTAAATTTGTTTGTCAGGTCTTTTATGGCAGCAATGAGAAAAGAACCTAACAGACACATCATGGACTCCGAAGGGATCCCGGCTGCACTCCCTCTGCAGACAGGAGAGACTCTGACCCGTGCCCGACACACTCTGCTCAGTCGCAGAGGTTCAAGGGAGCCCACCATCCCTGGCAGCCTCCCTCGGCAAGCGCACAAGGACAGACTTCAAGTCATTCTGCAGGAAGGCAGACAGATACCAGGGTCAGGTCGGCCAAGTCAGTGTGTCTCTTCTGTGTGGTATTTCCGTCTCCAGCGTGAGAGCAGAACTAGGGTCCAGGCGTGTTACTTTCCTTACGCGACTGTGTGATTGCCAGCCGCACTGCTGAGTTTTCTCTGTATTTCCTTTGCTTGGGCCTCGGGGCACTTTTCTGATCTTCAGGGGAACATTGCAATCCCGGACCCAGAGGGAAAGAATGATGCAAAGATGATTTGGAAACAGTTCCCAACTGTGGCCCATAACGAAAACCACACAGATGGCAACAAGAACCAGACAGATGAATCCATGGGCCCTGATGATTGGCCGCTGCTCTGTTTTTTGGAATCAGACCTGCTGTGAAGATGAGTCCTAACTTTTCTTAGCTCTCACCCTGGGCAGAGGGAGATGAAACTCTGGAAGCCAGTTCATCTGAATGAAGTTTCTGTGATCTTCATTCAGATTACATTCAGGAACCCCTCTTGAGAGGGTCTTGGGCACCATGTTGCCCTCTGCTCCGGTATGAACGCGTCCCCTCAGGGTCCATGTTTGAAGGTTCAGTACCCAGATTCACTGGGTACTGTTAGTTAACCACATCGTAGTAGTAATTGCGAAGTCGCAGCTCCACAGCTGTGAATCCCGGCCTGTTCTCTACCCTGGAGGAGGAAGAGATGTGTTACTCTTTGTAGGAAGATTACATTAACATGATTAGCTCACTGTGCCCCCTAGTGGTGAATGCCAGTCACTGCACCCTACACCAGTGCGGTCAGAAGTCGCTTCCCACTCCCAACCTGCAGAACTCAAGCCTGCATTTTACAAGATCCTGAGGATTCGTGTCCTTGTGAGCTAGGAGGATTTTGCACTATGTTACAGAAAGTCCTTCATGTCTGAAGACAACTAACTGGTCCCTGTACTGTAGATGCATCAGCTGACGCATGATCTTTATGTGTATTCTCATAAATGTGGGTGTGGACACGTGTGTGGAGGTGTGATCTAAGTGTATGTGGAGGACAGAGGACAACCCTGTGTCGTTCCTAAGACACCACCTACCTTGGCTTTTTTTTTGAGACAACGTCTTATGTAATGCTTTGTGGAAGAAGGGAGGCTCTCAGACGTTGTCAAAGGCAGGGGCTATTCCAGATGCTTGAGATACCATCTGGGACTTTGTGATTTCCTTCAGTTCACACACACTGTGGTCTCACAGAATCGTGACAGCTGATAGCTTTGCAGCTGGCCTAGCTTGCCTACATGGTCTACCACAGCTGCAAAAACGCAGATATTAGTGTCCCTGCCTCGAAGGGACAGGATTGGAAAGTAAAGTAGTCAATCTCTGGCCCCACCCCTGCCATCAATTATGTAGAAGGCAGCACTTTCCTGATACATCAAAACAATTCATACTTTAATACCCAGTGTGATGACTAAGGAAACTCCATTTTATGTGCGGCATCCCTCTTGGTACCTGTAAGTTATTTGTCTCCGACTGCAGCGTCTGGAAGATAAGTTCCCAGTAACTTTGACTCAGTGACCCCAACTCAAAAATGTACAGCCACGGCTATCTACTTGTTATGATATGACTACGTTTTTGGCTTCTGTATCTTGCTTACACAGATACCTAAGGAGTGTCTTGAGTTGCCTTAACCGCTTATCGTGGCAGAACAGACCAGGTTTTGCTTGCTTGCTTAGATATTGGAGGTCTTCTAGTGGTTTTCGCCTTAAAAAAGAAAACCATTCCCCAACATCCCCCTTCATGGTCATCTCAAATTTGGCTCAGCTATTGTTTGTATGGGAGCAATCAATCAATACATCTTTTAATTATAATTGGATTGGGTCTATGGTCCTTTCCCAGGGGTCACAAACCCCATGACATCAGCTGTGAAAGTTAGTTTTAATTGTCAACTTGACAGTCTTGAACCACTTGGGAAGACAGTCTCAACGAGGGACTGTTGTCTAGAACAAGTCAGCCTGTCAGGGAATTGTCTTGATCATGCTATTTGATGTGAAGACCCAGCTTGCCGTGGGTTACCATTCTTGGGTCAGGGAATCCTGGACTTTCTCAAGGAGGAGAAAGGGATCTGAGCACAAGAAGCATGTACGACATCTTTTCTCCCAGCTCTCCACTGTGACGATGTGACCAAATGTTTTCAGTTTGTGCCACCTTGACCACCTTGTGACCACGGACTGTAATCTGGAGTTTCTGAGCTAAAATAAATCCTTGGCCCCTATGTTAGCTTTTAACTGAGACATTTTATCACAGCGACAGACATAACTAGAACGCTAGCCACCCCGTCTGCTTCTACAAACATTCAGGTCAATGGAAGACAGGGTTGGGTACTCACTCATAGGTCCAGCAAAGGTTCATCAGGTCGTACATCTCTCGGGGGCATCCTGGAGGGCACCCCATACGCTCCCCTTTCTCCAGCATGGCGCTCACCTCGCTCCCTTTCATCCCCTGAGACATAAAAATGCACACAAGCTCTTAAAAACATTTGCCAACAAACAAAGGACCTCACCCCCACAGACAGAGGGGCACAGACACAGGCTGTGCAATACCAAGTGACATCAGTCACAATGCTAGGGGAAATTCCTCGGAATCCTAGAGTCAGAAGTGGCTGCCCGGTGAGAAGGGTTGGATGTCTTGGGGAGAAAGGGGGCTTTGGGGTTCCTGCTCTGATTCCTTATTTAGTGCCTGGCCTTGTGAGATGTAGGGCCTTCATGTGTGGCAATCTATTTTGTGGCACCCTAGGATCTGCATACATCCAGGAAAACACACACACACACACACACACACACACACACTAGTTAAGTCTGCAAAGTGCTACTTTTGCAAGCATGAGGACCTGAGTTCAATCCCCAAAGCCCATGTAAACAGTCAAGAGTGGCAGTGAATGCTTGTAATCCCAGTGCTGTGGGAAGAGAGACAGGCAGATCCCTGGGGTTTGCTGGCCAGCTAGCATGGCCTATAGGATGAACTCAGGCTAAGAAAGACTACCACAAACAGCAAGGTGAGTGGTGCCTGAGGAATGATGTCTCAACACACGCATATGCACACACATGAGAACACACATGCATATGCATACACATGAGAATGCACACACGTATGCACACACATAAGAAAACACATGCATATGCACACACGAGAGCACACAGACATATGCACACACACGCATATGCATACACACGAGAACACATAAACATGCACACACATGAGAATGCACACGCATATGCACACACATGAGAACACACATAGCAACAGCTAACATAGTCGATATTGTCAGTGTCACCATTTCTATTACAACTCTCAAGAAGGATGGTCTGCGGTTGTGTCTGGTGAGCATGTATGTAACACACAGTGAAAATATGTTCACTTAGCACCAAGTGTCATTTCCAGGTTATCGTAAGCTAAGATTGCACTAGCTGCCCACTGTTAGAGGCTGATGAGCGATCCCAGGTGTCCCCAGGTTCTTGTGGCAGTAGCCCGACCCCGAGTGATGTTTTCCTAAGGCCACAAGGCTGAGACAAGAAACACACAGCTGAGCGCGGCTCACCCGATAAGGCTTCTGCCCGTAGGAGAACGCTTCCCACATCAGGACTCCGAAGCTCCAGACGTCACTCTTGCTGGAGAACTTGTAGTAGTTGATGCATTCGGGGGCGTACCACTTCACGGGCCACTTCCCGTGGGTCTGGGCCTGGGAGCAGAGCAAAGTCAGGTGTGCACGTGCCAGTGCACACAGGAGTTGGGTGGGAGAAGCAGAGCAGAGAAAAGCCTCTGCTGAAACCCAGTGTCAGCTCGAAGGAAAAGGAGTCAGAAAAATCTTCCAAGGATCAACCAGTTCTGGGGCTGAGGACCTGGTCTAGTCAATAGTGGACACTCATGAAGCCCTCAGTTTGAGTCCTAGAACAGCGTAACCCAATCATGGTGGTGCGTGACTACAAACCCAGAACTCAGTACCCATGAAACCAGGCATGAAAGCCTGTCTAAAAAAGAAAAATCAACTTGTTCGGCTTGTATTTATGAAAGTAAGTTAACACAAACATTCTATCCTTTTTTAAAAAACTCAAAATTCAGGGTCAGCAAGATGGCTCAGTGGGTAAGGTGCCCGCTGCCGAGCCTGAAGATCTGAGTTCAATTCCTGGGGCGGATACGGTAGAAGGAGAGAATGAGCTCCTGTAAGTCGTCTTCCAGTTTCTATTAGTACATTGTGGCACACATGCCTACTTCACACCACAGGATAAATAAATGTCAAAAAAAAAGAAACAGAAGATGCTAGTTTGAATAAGGCTTCAGCTGAGATACGTTAAGTATTTTTAGATTTTGCTTCTTGATCAACAGAATTAATCTTAAGACTGCTTTCCCATATCTGGTGTTGATGGCGCACACCTTTAATCCCAGCACTCAGAAGGCAGAGGCAGGTGGATCTCTGTGAGTTCGAGGCCAGCCTGGTCTTCAAGAGCTAGTTCCAGGGTTACTGGTGAGATTTCCGCAATAATAAAATACAGAGAGCATACATTTGTCTTTCAATACTTTTATGACTTGCTGCTATGAGCCTGCCCTGAGCTGTCCCTCAGCCTGCTGCCATGAGCCTGCACTGAGTTATCCTACCTTGTAGTAGTTTTCGTCTGCACGAAGGGCTTTGGAAAGACCGAAATCGCTGATCTTGGCATAATGCTGGGTGACCAGAAGCACATTCCTTGCAGCCAGATCTCTGTGTACGAAATTGGACTCTTCCAAATACTTCATTCCCATGGAAACCTGATGAACCAACTCGATGATGTTCTTATCCTTGATGTGCCTAGGATCATAGGCTGCTGTTAGCAAGAGTAGGCGGTGATCATTGCAAACACACAGCCATGGTCCCCGTGTACATGTATGATGTGCCTAGAACCACAGGCTGCTGTTAGCAAGAGTGGGCGGTCATCATTGCAAACACACTGCTATGTTCCCCGTGCACATGTAAGAGGGGTCCATTCATTCCTCCTTTTTAAACAGTAGGACAGGGGCTGGGAAGATGACTCAGTGTAAGAACACTTGCTGCAAGAGATGAGGACCTAAATTTTGAAGAAGCAAGATGTGGCCACATGTGCCTGTAATCTCAGTACTGATAGGGAGTGGAGACAGGAAGGCCCTGAGGTTTGCTGGCCACCAGCATAGCCAAACCCCTAAACAAAACAAAATAGCAAAACTTCCTGGTTTTTTTTCTTCCTTTTTTTTTTTTTTTTTTTTTTTTTTTAAGATAGAGCATCACTGTGCAGCTCTAAATAGCCTGGAAATCGCTATGTAGATCAGCAGGCTGGTTTCAAACTCACAGACACCCACCAAGCTCTGTCTCTCTGGTGTTGGGATTAAAGACAAGTGCTACCTACCATACCGGCTGTGTCTTCAGGGAGAAAAGCAGAAAGTAGTAGAGGACACACAGTGTTCTGGCCTCTGCATGTATGCATAGGCATGCATACCCATGCACATGTGTATACACACACATTTGCTATGCACAGACATGAAAAACAACCACAGGCAGCATGGGTAGTGATGTTTCATTTATGTTTTATTAAGTAAAGCTTACCCAAAGATCAGAAGGGCAAAGCTAAGCCACTAGAGGTCAGGCAGTGGCGGCACACAAAGAAGACTCAGCAGCCTCAGCCCCTCCCTCCTCCCATTTTACATCCCCCTCTTGTGCTTGGATTAAAGGTGTGAGGCACCACCATCACCTGGATTTGTTTCTGCATTGATCTTGTGTAGCCTGGGGTGGCCTTGAACTCACAGAGATCCATCTACCTCTGTCTCCCAAGTCCTGGGATTAAAGGTGTGTGCCACCACTGTTTGACTCTAGTGCCTTAGAATTGCTCTTCTGATCTTTAGGCAAGCTTTATTTATTAAAACATAAGTAAAACATCACTGCAGGCATGGGTGTGGCAGGTCATCTCTCTGCCGCACAGATGTTCCAGACTGAACACCCTTCTCATGATGTTCAATGTGTTTCATTTTCAGGCACACACAGAAAGCCATGCAGGGCTGTGGAGACAGCTTAGTCGGCAAAGTGCTCATCTTGCAAGCATGAGGACGGGAGTTTGATGCCCAGAGTCTATGTGAAAATAAAGCCAGGTATAGGGGCCCATGCTTGCAATCTGAACACTGGGGAGTGAAGCTGGTGGATTCTTGGGGCTCCCTGCCCAACCTGTCTGGCATAACTGATGAACTCCAGTCAATGAGAGACCCCTGTCTCAAAGGAGACAGGTGATATTCCAGGGGCTGGGAGCTGCTCTAGGTTGACCTCTGACCTCCACCTCTCGCACCTGCACACACACACATACTGGAAATAGAAAAGAACAAGTGTATAAAGTGAGAAGTGGTCAGCCGTGGCTCAGAGGAGTCAGGGATGACTCTAAATCCCTGTTCCAAACTGGACAGGTTACAAATCGGCTCTGTGTTTCCATTTCCTGCCTGTAAAGACTCTCTTTCCACAGAGTCGAAGGCAACAGTTACAGCAACAACAACGCCGCAGGAGTGTGATGGGCTAAGTCACTGAATTTGGTTCCTTCTAGGAGTTTCTCTGTGTTGACCCAGCCATAGAGCAGCTGTGCTTAGACCACTGATGACCAATCAGTGAACAGCAGCCTGCTCCGTGAGATGCAGGTACTCAACCAGAGAAGACAAGACTGGTACCCCATGAAGATGCTCGTTCACCGTGTTTATCTAAGAAGAGTGTTCCGCCTGTTGCGGAAGATGCCCTGCCCACACACCTTGAGGATTTTATCACTGGGCAGAGATTCAAGACCAAATGATGGTTAGAGTTGTTTTCTGCCAGGACTAGGGAGATGCTTCAGTTGGTAAAGTGTCTGATGCACACGGATGAAGGAAGACCTGAGTTGGGGATCCCCAGCACTCAGATAAAAGCCAGGCATGGCATTTGGGACCTGGAATCCCTGGGACTCTGGGGCCAACCCAGTTTATCTGAATCCGTGAGCTCCAGAGTCAGTGAGACCCTGTCTCACAAGATCAAGTGGAGAGCCTAAGTGATAGTTCAGTGGTTAAGATGCGTACTGTTCTTGTATAGGGCCTGAACTTGGTTGGGAGGCTCACAACTGCCTATAACTCCAGCTCCAAGGGATTTGACACTCTTTTCTGAACCTGAGTATCTGCATTTATGTGGCACACACTCACACAGGCATATACACACAAATAAACAATAGCAGGAGGGAGATTGATAGAGGATAGAGAATGACATCGAATAGTGACTTCTGTCCCCGCCCCACATTAACACATAGCTGTGCTCCAACAGATGTATATATATGTATGTACACACACACACACACACACACACACACACACACACACACAGAGAGAGAGAGAGAGAGAGAGAGAGACAGAGAGAGA